TCACAATCACTCACACTCACAAACACTCACAAACACTCACACAAACACTCACAATCACTCACAAACACTTACAATCACTCACAAACACTCACAATCACTCACAAACACTCACAAACACTCACAAGCACGCACGCGCCACTCGCTCACTTGCTCACTCGCTCACTCGCTGACTCGCTCACTCGCCCACTCGCTCTCTCACTAACGCACTCACGCACTCACGCGCTCACGCAGTCACGCAGTGACGTAGTCACGCCGTCACGCACTCAACGCACGCACGCACTCTCTCACTATCTCACTATCTCACTCTCTCACTCTCTCACTCTCTCACTCTCTCACTCTCACTCTCTCACTCTCTCACTCTCTCACTATCTCACTCTCTCACTCTCTCACTCTCTCACTCTCTCACTCTCACTCTCTCACTCTCTCACTCTCTCTCTCTCTCTCTCTCTCTCTCTCACTCACTCACTCACTCACTCACCTCACCTCACTCACCCACCTCACCCACCTCACTCACTCACTCACTCACTCACTCACTCACTCACTCACTCACTCACTCACTCACTCACTCACTCACTCACTCACTCACTCACTCACTCACTCACTCACTCACTCACTCACTCACTCACTCACTCACTCACTCACTCACTCACTCACTCACTCACTCACTCACTCACTCACTCACTCACTCACTCACTCACTCACTCACTCACTCACTCACTCACTCACTCACTCACTCACTCACTCACTCACTCACTCACTCACTCACTCACTCACTCACTCACTCACTCACTCACTCACTCACTCACTCACTCACTCACACACTCACAAACACACACGCACTCAAACACGCACCCCTCCCCTCCCTCCCTTCCTCCCTCTCCGCCCTCCCTCCCTCTCTCCCTTCCCGCCGCCAGCTGTTTCTTGCACACTGATTCACGTACGCAGCGTGTGCGCGCACGGACACACAAAGCGCTGAAGTTTTACGTGCGCCTGGGTACTCACAAAAGTAGCTGGAGGTCATCCACAAACAAGCCTCCGGAGTCGCTAACACCCACAAACTCCAGACAGAGAGGGAGAGAGAGAGAGAGAGAGAGAGAGAGAGAGAGAGAGAGAGAGAGAGAGAGAGAGAGAGAGAGAGAGAGAGAGAGAGAGAGAGAGAGATAGAGAGACTAACGCCCGCAACAACGCCCACACAAGCTCAGCAAAATGTCCAAAGCCACAACCACTCAAATGGTCCAACCCCAACACGTGAGACTTTGTCCATCAACCGGTCAAAGGGTCTAAAACAGAGCTTCCCAGATACTCACATGTGAGTGGCGTTCTTGCTGGGCGTTGCTTGCGGAGAGTTTTGTGCTGTTTGGGCCTGCGGGCGCTTGTGGGCGTTGCAGGCATCTTCCTGGGCTTGTGGGCGTCGGTGTTGCGGGCGTCTTCCGGGAGCGCCGTTGCGCTCTTCCTTGTGCTTGTGGGCAGTTTTGGGGGCTTGTGAGCATGTGGGCGCCGGTCTGTGGCTGGGCTTGTGGGCAGCGTTGTGGGCGCTTGTGGGCGGGCGTCTTATTGGGCAGGCGAGTGGCACCAAGAAGCTTGGGTTCTGGGCAAATGACACAAGACCTGATTGAATTTGACAGACAGGGAAAGGGAAAGCAAAAGGAGCACCCAATCTCCTTGCGGGCCCTCAACAAGACGAGCCGAATAGGTTGACGGTTAGATATGCGCGGCGCAGCTAGATGTCCAGAAATAAAACAACCTTGCGGCCAAAGGCTATGGGGTTGCGCAGCCTTTCTCAGCTGTTGGGCCAGAAGGTGTCGTTGAATGCCGCCCTTGTAAACATTAACAGGCGGCAATTCGAACCCTTCCCTTTGGATTCTCACTCCCTGATGGGTTCCTGGACTTTAGTTACTTTTGGGAAGATCATGTTAGTTGTAAACGACAACTTTGGTTGCATTTTTTGGCCAGTCCACTCAGAGTGAGGTAAACGTGTTCAACCCCCATGAAAAGAAGGTTTGAACCCCAGTAATGTAAGCGCCCATATGGACCGCTGCGGGCGCCCGCAACAGCGCAACACTGCCGCCCACAAGCGCCCACAAGCGCCCGCAAGCACTCATGAAGAACGCCCGCAACCACCCACAAAGCGCCCACCAAGAGCGCCCACAAGTGCCCGCAAGCAATTATGAAGGGAGCGCCTGCAACAGTGCCGCCCACCCCCCACCCCACAAGCACCCAGTGAAACCCCGCCCACATGCGCCCACAAGCGCACCCAGCAGAGAGCGTGGGCGAGCGCCCATATGCGCCGCACACCCGAAAGCGCCCAAGAAGAGCCCCCACATGCGCCTAGAAGCACCCGCCAAGAGGAACGCCCACAGAGGCAACAGTGCTGCCCACAAGCACTCAAGATGCACGCTTGCAAGACTTCCGTCCTTGTGGCGCACATGCGCCCACAAGCCCCACGAAGGAGCGCCCACAAGCGTCCGCAAGCGCTCATGAACATCGCCCGCAAGACTTCCGCCCACAAGCGTCCACCAAGACAGCCCACCAAGACAGCCCAGAGAGGCACAAAGGGAGCCGACAGCGCCTGCAAGCGTCCTTGAAGTGAGCGCCCACAACGAAATGCCATTCCTTCAAAGCAAGCCGAAACTGGCTGATGCTGGCCGAGGCGGGCAGCACGAAGCGTGTACAATAAAAATGTGTGCTCGCGGAGCTTACCCTGACACCTGCGTTGTCACTCCCACTTGCAAGCGCGAGCTCTACGTTCAAGGGCTGCTTTGTTTCCTGCTGTTTCATGTTTCTTTGCTGCTGTTTCCTGATGCTTCCTGCTTCTTCCAGCTCTTTGGAAGGCCCCGAAAACAAGAGGCCCCACAAGGGATTTGCTGACGCAGAAACACCAACACACATGTGGTTGTGTGCGTGCTTGCTTGTTGTGTGTTTGTGCGTGTGTTTGTGAGTGTGTGTGTGTGTGTGTTTGCGTGTGTCTGTGTGTGCAGTAGTGAGTTTGTGTTTTTGTGTGTTTGTGTGTCTGTGCGCATGAGAAAGGCGTGTGCGTGTGTGCCAGTGTGTGTGTGTGTGTGCGTGTGTGTGTGTGTGTGTGCGTGTGTGTGTGGGGTGTGTGGGTGCGCATGGGTGCGTGCGCGCGCGTGTGCACGTGTGCGCGCGTGCGCGTGTGAAATGTGCGCGTGTGCGCGTGTGCGCTTGCGCGCGTGCGCCCGTGCGCGAGTGTGCGCGCGCGCGTGTGCGCGTGTGCGCGTGTGCGTGTGTGCGTGTGCGCGTGTGCGCGTGTGCGCGTGTGCGCGTGTGCGCGTGTGCACGCGTGCGCGCGTGCGCGCGTGCGTGGGTGTGGGTGCGCGTGTGTGCGTGTGTGCGTGTGCGCGTGTGTGCGTGTTTGCGTGTGTGCGTGCGTGCGTGAGTGTGCGCGTGCGCGTGTGCGTGCGCGTGCGCGTGCGTGTGCGTGTGCGCGTGTGTGCGTGTGCGCGTGTGCGCGTGTGCGCGTGTGCGCGTGTGCGCGTGTGCGCGTGTGCGCGTGTGCGCGTGTGCGCGCGTGCTCGCGTGCGTGGGTGTGGGTGCGCGGATGCCGTGTGTGCGTGTGTGCATGTGTGCGTGTGTGCGTGTGTGCGTGTGTGCGTGTTTGTGCGTTTGTGTGCGTGTGTGCGTGTGTGCGTGTGCGTGTGCGCGTGCGCATGCGCGCGTGCATGCGTGTGTCTGTGTGTGTGTGTGTGGGCGCGAGTGTTGGCGCGTGCGTGTGTGCTTGCGTGCGTGCGTGCGTGCGTGCGTGCGTGCGTGGGTGGGTGGGTGGGTGGGAGGGTGGGTGGGTGGGTGGGTGCGTGGGTTCGTGGGTGGGTGCGTGGGTGGGAGCGTGCATGAGTGGGTGCATGAGTTCGTGCTTGCGTGCGTAAGTGTGGGTTTGTGCGCGCACCTGAATGTGTTGCGCCCTTGCGCACGCGGGCGTGAGTGCGTGGGTGGGTGCCGGCGCGAGCGCTCGGAGGGGCGGCTGCGTGCGTGCGTGTATGGTTGTATGTGTGTGTGTGTGTCTCTGTGTGCGTGTGTGTGTGTGCTTTTCATTGTGCGCACGCTTGTGCGTGTGGCGGGATTCTTATGCTTTCGCGGTTGTGGTTGTTTGTTTGCGCTTGTGTTGTCCTTCTGTCTTGCGCGATCTGCTTTTGTTGGTGCGTACGTGTGATTTTGTGTGTGTGCGTGTGTGTGTGTGTGCGTGTGTTGGTGTGTGTGGTGTGTGTGGTGTGTGTGTTGGTGTGTGTTGGTGTGTGTTGGTGTGTGTGTGTGTGTGTGTGTGTGTGTGTGTGTGTGTGTGTGTGTGTGTGTGTGTGTGTGTGTGTGTGTGTGTGTGTGTGTGTGTGTGTGTGTGTGTGTGTGTGTGTGTGTGTGTGTGTGTGTGTGTGTGTGTGTGTGTGTGTGTGTGTGTGTGTGTGTGTGTGTGTGTGTGTGTGTGTGTGTGTGTGTGTGTGTGTGTGTGTGTGTGTGTGTGTGTGTGTGTGTGTGTGTGTGTGTGTGTGTGTGTGTGTGTGTGTGTGTGTGTGTGTGTGTGTGTGTGTGTGTGTGTGTGTGTGTGTGTGTGTGTGTGTGTGTGTGTGTGTGTGTGTGTGTGTGTGTGTGTGTGTGTGTGTGTGTGTGTGTGTGTGTGTGTGTGTGTGTGTGTGTGTGTGTGTGTGTGTGTGTGTGTGTGTGTGTGTGTGTGTGTGTGTGTGTGTGTTTGTGGGTGTGATACTGAGTGATTATTTGCGTCTATGTCTCTGCTTGTTGTCTGTGTGGTGTGTCTATGCGGCTTTGTTTGTGCGAATTGTGTCTGTCACACCCAACGCGTGTCCGCTTTCCGCGAGCAAAGCCTGCCCGAAACCCACAGTATGGTGGATGCCCTAAATATTGCAAGTAGGGGTCATTAGGGGAAACCCATATAAATCACCGCCATCTACCAGATGAGGTGGTTGTGATTTATTACGCAGGTGAGCCACAGAGCAGTAGGTAAACCCATCGCTCGACAAGAGCCAAAGGAACGCCTCCTCCACATCTCCGCGGTAGGCCGCGCCCTGGAAACCCACCAGCTGCTCGCCTCCGGAGGCCAATTAGTTGAGGGTCCCTTATGGCTGTGGCTCGCAAAACAGTGCCCAAAATGACACCTTGGTACATGGAAACAAAGACTAAAACCTGCGGAACCCCAGGTCTGGAATTTTGAGCCGCACCCATGTTGCGTCGATAAGACGTGCAGCTGGAACAGAGATGCTTGCTTCCTACGGTCCAGATTCATCCGAGATTGACTATACAGGTCATTGGGATACAACAACGAATGACGCTTGACGTCGAAATCTACTGTAGCCCTGTTCAAAACTACGGTCATTTGGATCGATCGGGTCTCAGCTCCGGGCTCAAGTCAGAGATGGACCGCTTCACCAGCACTAGCGGCATGTCCTGCGCCGACTCTCCGAACCCCGCCAAATGACGCAAGGGAGCACTGCTAAAATAGACGAAAGCTAGGATTCGTGTGTTTGGGTGTGTGTGTGTGTGGTGTTTGGGGGTAACAGTTTCAGGAAAAGCTGCGTCAAGGGAAATGTCAGGCACCCCCGATCAGGCACACTGCACCGAGCCTTTTTGGCTTTGCCCGGTTTCCTGGTAAGGATCTTGTGCGAGTCTTGCAAAAGGTCGTACCTTTCTGCAAACATCTGCCTTGAGCTATTGTCGAATCCCGAGGGTCCTTTTGGGTTCTGGACCCCCAAAATGATACTGGTGTGATGTTGCAAACGAGTTGGACCACAAATGGTTTCTGGTTAAGAACAAGCAACATGACAGACATGTCTTAGAGGAGCTGGCACTGGCTTTGACCTACTCACTACGGCTGGTGGCCAAGCATGGCCTCCAAACCTGTGCATCACTGTGACTCCACAGCGACCTGCAAACCCTCAGTTCAATGAGTGCTTTTGCCCGAACTTGAGCGTTTCTTTAAGATGAAGTCTTTTCAAGGAAAGCGCCCGGAAGCGGTCCGGAAGAGTCTCCAACTTGACCCTTAGAATATTGAGGGAGCAAGGTTGCTAATAGGACAACAGGGCACACACACACACACATGCAACACAAGACATAATTGAAAACCAACTTACGAAAAACAACTAAGGCACCCACATGTGGATATGTATGCACACACGAGCCAAACTCACTGAAATCCCACAAAAGCCGATGCATACAACATGATCCAATGCACATAAGTGCCTAAAGAGTCGACTACATGCGACGGATCAGCCAAACACACCCCTCATATGCTCCACGTTGCGTTGACCAAGCGCAAACCATCAGGCCACCTTTACAGTGCAACATGCAAAACATGACAACGCAGACACACACGCACACACACACACACACTCTTCCAACAAAGAAGGTACTGCACCATCCGGCAGCGACTTCCCTGCAAGTTCACATTCAATGTGGGTTTCCTGTAAAACAAAAAACATGTATTCTGGGGTCTGGCTACAAACCACATGTGCCACGGCTGATTCCCAAAATATTCTGAATTTTGCAAGCCGGGACAAGGACCCCCGTACTCAAGCAGCAAGCACTACAAATCGCCGGCCGGCCAACAATTCAAACGGCGTCGTTCTCAAACCTCAGCTGATCCGTTCCCCAAACCCAAGTGACGCGATAGACAGCCTTCAGCTCCTCTCCCGGCTGAAACCTGCGCCAGGCAAAGGAAATGCTCAAAGGGCCGAGAAGAGAGGAACCCAAATGGACGTGCAGATTTGGCCAATCGGCAACAGTGACATGCGCAAGACAAATGCCGTATCCGTTTTGGAAAGAATACCATTCATGCATGATGCCAACGGTTGGATGGCGTTTACATAAAGGAAGCGGTTAAAGGATGATCCCAGGCAGGAAATACACCATGGCGCACTTGTGCCACTGGCAGTGCTTGGCAGCCGCTTCAGCTGCACCACTTCCAGCTGCCACGCCCAAGAACCGATCGCTAGGCAAGGCCCTCAACTCGGACGAACACACTTGGGTCAAAGACCATAAAGTAAGGTCCGCAACTATCTGTCGTCTTCCCACAAGAGGACAATGGTCTGAGCGAAGCAAGCGAGGGTACAGTGTATGTTCTCGCAAAGGCTTGTTAAAGATTCTTCATGGCTAAGTGTTTCGACTTGTGAGCAAACCGTGCCCCACCTAAACGTTCCAGTTGGACGCGACAGACTATGGAAACTGCGGGGGGGGGTTGTTCATCAAAGTTGGGACGCCGCAAAACTGGGTGCTAAATAGGCGGTGTGGAAAACTTAAAACGGCCCATCCCCTCTTGGGTTCCCTTTGGGTCAAGCACCCAAAAAAAACATTCAGAGGGGTATTCCCTATCGGCTTCAGAATGTGAACATGACACGTGTCCAAACTTGTCCAAACATCCCTACTGTGACCAGCCGCCGGCTTGTCTTCCGATCAGCCTCAGCACCTCTGTATCTTGCAGGAGCCAGAAGGGCCCCTCCAGGCTGCAGGCCTGTGCATGGGGCAGCTACCTAAGTTGTTGGTAGCCTGGGGTAGAACCCACTGACAAGTCTCCCGTTCGGTGGGGTTAAGCCTGTTAGTGGGTTATAACCCAGATAGCTAGCCACTTACTTGGCCGAACATCCAAGTACGCCTCTCAATCTGCTTGGAAAGGTTCTCAACATGGTTGGCCCATCTGGTAGTTCAATGGCCATTGGGACCATGATAACACAGACGTACACCAGGGACTAATTTCTTACGGATGATCAGGAATCAGGAAAGGATAGTCTCAGGGGAGCTGAGAGGTGCTGATGGAAACGAACCACAGCGCTCCTTGATCTGACGCTTGCAGCTTACGGTACACATTCTTGATTTACACCAGAGCGAATGTACTGGAACCATATCGTATCAAAAGCAAGCCCGCTCAATCCTGTGGGTGTGCGTTTGCTTCTGGTTTGCATTTGGCACATAGTTTTCAGCTGGTAAGGCTTCAGCTTGTATTCAGTAGGGAGGGTGGTTGTGAACCTGTCTTTTTCCTTTCAATTTCAATCCAACATGCTCAATCCCGAAAAATAAACGAATTTCCCGAGACCGCGTGAGGGTGCTCTCATATGGACAAATCGACGGTCCGAGGCGCAAAATCAACAAGTTTCTCTGACTCAAGAAGTTGCTCTTACTACAGCGCAACAAAATGCGAGGGCCCCCTACGAGCCGCGAACCAGGTAGCTGGCCATTTGAGTTTAACCCACTAGCGGTCGACTCCACGTAAAGGGTGGTATAGGTTCGGTTGTCGGCTACAACCTCCCCTTTAGTGGGGTTCGTCACATTTGGAGGAAGCACCCACCTCTTGATCGGACGTGTTTGTTCATCCGGGGTCAACATTACGGAACATGGCCCAGCCTCAATTGTGTCCTTTCACCTACCATTGAAGGAGTGATTGGCCACTCACATGCGTCTGCAGGACAATGGTTCACCAACCTAAAATGAACAATGGGCTCACAAAGAAGGCAACGTTCGTCATGAAGTTGCAAGCCCCTACTAGTAAGTTCGCAATGAACATTGTTGAGGCCTTTGACAAAAGACCCAATATTGTCCGAAATAACCAGAATGCATCTGGCAATAGTGTCAAAATGTGCCAAACCCTGGCACTCAAAAAGGGATTCTGAAGCTCTCTTTTTTTTCGGTGGTGGCCTTGTCAAGCAAAGGCTTAAAGAGATCAGATCCGAAAGCACGCCGCATTTCTAACTCAGCGTTTGCCCTCGACCAAGAATCATACACTTAATTGTGATCCACATATATTGAAACTTAGTCTAAAGAAAGTCCAAAATATCATTCTACATAGATAGACCGAGAGATACCCAACTTCAAGGGGAGCCATTCCAGACGGAGAAAAAGAGAAAACGCTTGGACAAAAAACAGCTTGGACGAAAAAAGAGAAAAGCGGCAAACCGCCCGCAAGCTTCGCATCAAAACTGCGCCTCGCAGACCTTCTGCCGGAGAGTTCCGGCTTCGGACCGGCGGTTGGCGCGGACCTGGCAGAAACGAATTGGTCCCTGGGTGTCTCAAAACCGGGGACCCCGAAGCAAGAAGCAGCCTGATTTCCCTCTGGGATTTATTCTTCTTCGAAAAGGATTTTTTCAAAAAGAGACGCCAGAGTCCAATGGCTACCAACCAGTGGCAAGCCCGAAAGGTAGCAAAAAATGAGGAACTCCATTTGTTAGGGTGGGACTTTTTGAGGGAACCAAGAGGGAAGGAGATGTTTCAGGAGCCTTTTGTAACAAGCATGTTCAGGTAGGATATTTCAGCGAATTCTAGATCAAATTGTTACTGTCAGCATGGCACAGTTTGGCATCCTCTGAACATGGAAATTACTTAGGTAGAGAGTCGAAACATACTTGATTGGCAATGGCACTTCTTGGAAGCCGGCTTTTTGCTGCACGGATCGGGCCGTTAGGTAGTCTTGCGTTTTCTCTGAGAGTACTGGCTCAAGTAGGTGCCCTTGTTCTACAAATTGCCTTGTTGTGCAACTTTGCAGTAGAGCTCGAAAGCGTGTCGCCGTGGTGCCGTCTGGTTGAAGGAAGTGCCTGCGTAGTTCCTGAACCACGCGAAGCATCGAGCTGCTTGCCGCGCGAAGGATTTGCACTGGCAAGGCTTCTTGTGCCCGCGGGCGTGGGACGTGTCTATCGCCCAGTACTCCTCTTCGGCTTCCTCTCCTCTTCCTTGCGGCTCTGCCGGGTCAGCCAAGGCACGATCCAGGCGGAGAGACTCTGGGGATTAGTTGTATTTCTCCAGCCTTCCACAAAACAAACATAGAACTTCCGAAAAGGTACCTCCGTCCAAAACGCATGGGGCTATCTCTAAGATTCTTGGCTTCAACCTCTGTTTGGCTTGAGGTGAAAGCCCCCCGTGTGGGGGTACCCCTCTGCGTGGATACCGGGCTGCTCCATCAATTGATTGGTTTCGGGTAACTGGCCACTGCGTGTCCGCCCCCCCCCCCCCCCCCGGGCCTTTCCCAGCAGCTGGCCGCTCATGAGCCGTACCTGTTAATTCAGCAAGTCACTCAAAAGCCCGGAGCCCCCCCTCAAAAGAAACGGCCGCAGGGTCGACACGATGCGGCAAAACTCAAAGTTGAGAATATCTATGTATATATATATATGTATATTTACATATATATATATATGAATATATCATATATATATATGAATATATTAACCAGCCAAACTGAATTTCAGCACATGTAAGTATGAGCCTAAGCAACCAGCCAAAATATGTGTCCTTCTAGAAAATATATGACGGTAAGCTTTCAGAACCAAGCTGAAACCAGCCAGATCCGCAGATTTGCACCCGCGCCTCAAGGTCCAACTCCTGCAAAAAACCGGTGGAGAGATTCGGGGGTTGGGGGCTTCAGTGGTCAAGGTGGGGTGGGCGGGGTTGGGTGGGGTTTGGGGTGGTGGTGGGGTTGGGTGGGGTTGGGTGGGATTGGGTGGGGTTGGGTGGGGTTTGGTGGGCGGGGGGTTGGGTGGGGGTCGGGTGGGTGGGGTTGGGCGGGGTTGGGGTGAAGGGTCGGGTTGGTTAGTGGGGTGCAGGGGTGGGTTTGGGCGGTGGGGTTTGGGGTGGTCAGGGTTGGGTGGGGTTGCGGGACTGCACCGATGTGCATGATACATACTGGTATAGGTACCAAGGTGGATCAGCCTAATTCCATATGATGCGAGAGTACCAGAAAAATCGGCATTGTCTGATGGCGGGGGTTGGGTGGGGTTGAAGTTGGGGCGGGGTTGGGTGGGTCTGCGATAGGCTGACTGCCTCCCTCCTCCGCAATTGCCGGGTTGTGAGTCGAGGGCCATTGGTTGCCGCTCTGCTGGCCTTGCTGCGCATTCCAATTGTCTTGGCACTCCTTGCCTTTGGCACTGGACTCCTTGCCGCCCGGCTTGCCGCCAAGACTCTGCTACCAAGGGTCCGAGGCAGTGGCAGTCCAGCGATCCCAGTCGCCTTTCCGTTCCGCCATCGTCGTTGTGATGGCTGTTAGCCCTGAGCCGTCCTGCTGATCCTGCTGTGTGCTATGGGCAGCCGCATGCCACCCTACGGACGTTGGAGCTGCGACACGCTAGTTGGGAAACGTGTCTTCAAAGGGAAAAGGAAACATGGCACAGCTTTGAGGGCTATCTTCGATTCTTCGGCTGGAATGGGGATGCGGGAGGAAATTTCTGTGTCTAGTAAATCGTTCCCAAGTCTGGCTCGACTCGCGTTTGAACTCTCCCCGTGCCACATAGCAGCGTGTCCTGCGTTGACACCGCCATGACCTTATGCATTTGGACGCATGTCCTGCCCACCGGTCCAAAAAGCCGGGAACAAAAAGCCAGCGGATTGAGGCCATGAGTCAAGTTTTAACGTGCGGCCGAAGCATGGCTTTCATCAGCAAATGAAAAGGTCAAATAGAAGTGGCAGCTTTGGCACGCATGACGAGTCTTGGGCTTGCATTCTCAGAGGTCCCATTACATGTATGTTCGTCAGAGGGAGAGCTCTCGGGCCATCAGAAACATACGTCTTTGTCCGATTTGGACTAAAGGTAAAACTTGCTTTTCAGCATGCTCTTGGTTTGTCCACAGCGTTGAGACAGCTCAACCAGTCCCTGTTCAAACACATTCGTATAACCCATTTTTGTATCTCATAATTTCATGTTGCCCCAGGATTAATAAACCCTTCCCACTATTAGGTTATTAGGGGGGGTGTTCCCTCCAAAAGGTGGGGGTTGGGTGGTGGTGGTCAAGGGGTGGGGTTGGGTGGGGTTGGGTGGGTGGGGTTTGGGTGGGTGGGTGGGGTTTGGGTGGGGTTGGGGTGGGGTTGGGGTGGGGTTGGGGTTGGGTGGGTTGGGTGGGGTTGGGTGGGTGGTTCACGGTTGGTCAACAAAAAAAGTTGGCACCCCGGAGCCTCCGCCTAATCAACCCTCCCCCTTCAACCCCGCAATGAGACGGACTCCACTGGGCGATCATGTGTCGCCACACGCGCAGGTCAGGAAGGTTCGCCGAAATGAAGAGCCTCCAAAAGCAGCTCCCGGCCGTGGAAGCCACGCCATATTTGAACGCTGCGGGGGTCGCGGTATGTGGGAGCTGTGCTGTGGCCCAGTCAGCTCAGCGCTTCGTCCTGGAACCTGCTCTTGGCGGGTGAAAAAGAAGGCTTCAGGTCACTTGGCTGAAACGGGGAAGGACGCAAACAAACGCTGGCCGGAGCCAGCGTGCTGATTTAGTGTGTGTCAGCCGCGCCTGAAACCTGGCCGTGAACGCTGCTGGGTCGGATGTTCAAGTTGGGCTCACGCAGCGGACGGTTCGGGGGCGCCGTGCCACACATCTGAGAGCTTGCCGGTCACGGCGCGCCGGTCCGCAAGGCCGAGCTCGACACAGACGATCTCGAACACAAGGGCCATGAACCGAGCGCAAAAGCAACCCGCACGCAGCAGCCCCGCTCGCCTCGGAGCTGGGTGAGCTTGTGCGTGTTGGCGCGCCTCCGCTCGCAGCTATCGGTCTAAAAGGGCCATGATGGGTAAGGCCAGAGCTCGGCAACGAGCAGCTTGCCGCGCAGTAACTGTAGCAGGTTGACAAACATGCACGCACACGCACACACGCTCTCTCAGACCCAAGTTCCGGGCAGCCATTTCCCGCTTCTGCGCCATGACTTCGTCCTGCGATCACCGTCGGGATTTGGGTGTTTTAAGGTCCTGATGCCAGTTTCCTCCAAACAGGGGGCCAGGCCGGTGTTGCGCGCTAAGCCTTAGAGCTTGCGGTCGTCTTTCGGGAATAACCGAACTCTTCTGCAAAGTGCGTTGTTCTTGAGCCACTCATTGCAACAAGATGGTGAAAGATGACCACCATGTGCCTCGGACAGCTGCAGAGAATAGAGTGAGCCGGTGATTAGTGCAGAGCGTCTTATGCGAGCGATGAGTTCGTGGCTACTACTTTGTGGCGGAGTAATACAACCCTCATGATCACACTGTGAGCACAATATGAGCAACCCATGCCTACTGCTCAATAGTATCGGAGTAGGTGATAGGTGAACATGCTCGCCAGCCCGTACTCTCGACAAGAGGGTGGGTAGTGGGTGATAAGCGATGTGCATGTGCATGTGCTTAGTGCGCTGGTTGTGCTAGTAGTGAGCAACTTATGTGTCATATGCACCTACCACATACCATTGCACTTGCTGTTCCTCCACACAATCCAACCCAACCCACCCACTATGCACGTATTGCTGTCGACGCCAACCAACATTGTGGGGTTGGGGGTTGGGTGGGGTTGGGGGTTGGGTGGGGTTGGGTGGGGTTGGGTGGTTGGGTGGGGTTGGGTGGGGTTGGGTGTGGGGTTGTGTGGGGTTGGGTGGGGTTGGGTGGGGTTGGGTGGGGTTGGGTGGGGTTGGGTGGGGTTGGGTGGGGTTGGGTGGGGTTGGGTGGGGTTGGGTGGGGTTGGGTGTGGGTTGGGGTTGGCGGTGTTGGGGTTTTGGGGGAGCGGGGTTGGGAATCTATCCAGGGCTTGAGCTCCCACGCCCACCCCACTGGCCCCAAGGTGACCAACAAAAGGAACACGTGGCTAGAGGACCAGGAACCAAAAGCTTGGGGGACAGTCGCACTGAAAAGCAAACAAAGCTGGGACTCGTTGGGTGAAGATGCCCTTCACTTGTTCGTCTAGTCACAAATCAGCGTCTTCCCTTCTCTCCAAAACCTTGCCTCCCCGCCATGCCTTGCTTTGTCTCTCTTACACATGATCATGCGAAAAGAGACTTTAGCAAGGTGCGAACAACGTTCGAAGCGACCCAACTCAACACAACAAGACAAGATTCAACAATGGGCTCGGAAAGGCTTGCATGAACCCAACACAACAAAAGGGCTGTTGGATGCAAGCCGTCGCTGATTCAAAGCACTGTTGTCAACGATAGCTCCCGGTTGCCTGGGAAATGGTCTGCACAAGGGCCCGTACTTCAGGGGTTGACGGAAATCCAGGGTGGAAGAATAGTTCAAAACGCCAGAACATCCAAAATGGACCCTTTCAACCTGAAACCTCCAATGCAACTGGGAGGTCGGGTTGGGCGCTCTTCGGAACCCCTTGAGTTTTGGGTCTGCTTCCGGCACCCCAAGACTCCCGAAACAGTAAACAGTGGGTCTGCAGCCAAAGGGGCCTTTTTTGAGAAAAGTGGTGGGACACATCACCATCCGTTGACCACGACGAAATTTCTTTTCAAGCGCCCAAAAGCCATTCATATAGTAGATCCCTACCCCTGGCCCGCCGAAAAAAAGAATGCTGCTCTCCTGCTCCATCGCTGGCTTGGAGCTGCGACCTATCTAGCAGCAGCTGGGCATTCAACAGCTCTTCGCCCGTTCCCGTGTTGCATTTGGGCACCCCCCTTTGGTTCCGGGGGCAACACCCTCCCCTCTCTCTGTTGCTCTAGGTATTCAGCGGGGGTCCCCCTCCTTTTTTTGGTTGGGCCACAAGGAAATCAAACATTTGGAAGGCCCCGCGTTTTGAGACAAACTCATTTTGAACTGCAAAGCCAACCGGTTCTCAACCATCTCGTTCCATCATCAAGCTCCTGGAAAGTCAGAGAAGCAGCTCACAAACTTGTTTTGGCCAAAATTTGATATTTTCACCAACTTGAAATACAAGGACTGCCAAAAAGGAGCTTCATCATGGCCACCGTCGCGCTCATTTGCCCAGACTCGTTGGACCCCAAGTAGAACTCACCTACTGGGAGATTGTGTTTTTCAAGGGTCATGTCCAATGATACTTACATGTCAATTTGGTTCTACATCAGCTGGCTAGTCTGCTTCACCACCAACACCACTGCCTATCAAACCTGATGAACAATACTGCATCCACGTTGGTGTCAATCATCTGAATACTGTGCTTCAATAAGACTGATCCTTTCCATCAAGTACTCCTTTCAGTTGGAGCACTGCAATTAAGGAGGTGTGTGTTCTTCCTGTTTTTTAATGAGAACGTAACTCGATTTTTATCAGGACAGATTTTTCTAGAATGTCTCGCGTCAATTAGAAACTAAATAGGTGTATGTCTAATTAGAATTTGTATCTCAAATTAGATTTTAAAGGCCTCATGTTTTGCTAAGGATCTACAGAGGAATTCGTAAGGACTGAAGTCTAGTAGGATTTATTGTGTCAATTGGAATTCAAGTATGAATTCGTTTTAAGGAGGACTTCAATTAGATAATTGGATCTTAATTAGCGTTCTGACTTCAAAGTAGGAGTTCCAGGGGAATTGCTTTTCAGAATGATTTGTTCAAAAATGGAATTGCCATTTAAAAAGTTAAAGAAGGAACAAAGTCTGGTAGAATCTCTAGCTTCACTTAAGATGTCAAAAGGATATCCTATTTCAAGAGGAATTGAATTAGATTTCAAAATAGAAAACTTATTTCAACATACATCTTTCGGATGGTGTCCTTTTCCAGGCTTTGCTTTTGAATCTCATAATCAGGGCTTCAATGGACGAGTCTGCAGTCGTTTTTGCAATTTTGAGACAGGTTCGCGTTTCTTGGCGGTCTTGGTTTGTCAGGGTTTGTGTGTTTGGGACAGTCTCGCATTTTGTGAGGCTGACCCCAGGCAGGTGTGGAACAATCCAAAAACAGAATCCTGACAAGCTCAAACCCAAAGCAACGCCAAACTGTCCCAAAAAATACTTCGCTTCGAGCAATCCCCACCCTCCACACTCACGAGCTTACGACCGTTACAACAAATTCCTCCGCGGCCTGAAAGAATTGCCATCGGCCCTTTTGGACATGAGGCAAAACCAGACTAACGAGCTGCTCTGGCGGGATACTGGCGGGATACTGGCGGGATACTGGCGGGATCCACTGGCGAGTGCTGGCAAGTCGCTCCGGCTCCATACTGGCCAGATACTCGGCAGGATCCAGCGGCAAGGGATACTGCGGCGGCATCCACTGGTGAGCTACTCTGTCATACTCAGATCCACTGGCGGGCTGGCGAGCTACTCTGTGATACTCAGCGGGATATTCGGCGGGATCCACTGGCGGGCTGGTGGGATACTCGGCGGGATGTACTTGCGAGCTACTCTGGGATACTCAGCGGGATAGTCGGCGGGATCCACTGGCGGGCTGCTGGTGGGATACTCGGCGGGACCCACTGGCGAGCTACTCTGGCGGGATACTCGGCAGGATCCACTGACAAGCTACTCTGGGATAATCAGCGGGATGCTCGGCGGGATCCACTGGCGCGCGCTCTGGTGGGATACTCGGCGGGATCCACTGGCTGGCGGGATACTCAGCGGGATACTCGGCGGGATCCACTGGTGGGCTGCTCTGGTGAGATACTCGGCGGGATCCACTGGCGAGCGGACTCTCGCCGATCCACTGGCGAGCCGCTCGCTCTGGCGGGATACTGCCGGTCTGGCGGGATACTCGGCGGGATCCACTGGCGAGCCGCTCTGGCGGGATACTCGGCGGGATCCACTGGCGAGCCGGTCTGGCGGGATACTCGGCGGGATCCACTGGCGAGCCGCTCTGGCGGGATACTCGGCGGGATCCACTGGCAAGCAGCTCTGGCGGGATACTGGGTGGGGCCGTGGTGGTGTAAACTCTGATTCCAACATAAAATCTAACCTGTCGGGTGGGGAAAAACCATCCCTGCTGAAGATTCTGCAGCATTGCAGTGTTGTTTTCTTGGAACATGCTCGTGCTGGGGGTCTGGGCTTGTCAGGATTGTTTTGTTGGAGCAGTCTTGCATTCTGTGAGGCTGACCCCGAAAAAGTGTGAAATTGTCAAACACAAACACACATTTTGCAAAGCGCGGGCCTTAAAAAAAGAATGAACAAATGCAAACACACCGAGAAACACACAAAAACAAGCCTTGAAAAAGAACCAGCCTCAAGGAGGTACCTTGCTGCCCCCCTTTCTCATCCTGAGGTGGTTTGAAGGCAAACAATAATCCTCAGTCCCGCATCTTGAGCATCCCCAAACTTTTCTCCTCGCTCACTCGCGCTTCAGCCGCTTGGCTGCGAGGGCGCAGCCGTGGCGCGCAGCGAAGCTCGGCGGCTTGGTCAGGCACATGGCGATGGCCCAGGCGTCGTCACCAAGGTCCTGCCGCATGGTGGCGGGAAATGCACCCGCGCAAATGGAACCCCAAAAGGAGCTCCGTCTACAAACGCTTGCTTTTGGAGTTCCATGTTGATCTGCAGGAGAGTAACCCCTTTGGCGATGCCAAAGCAGTTGACTATGAGCTCTTGATCACTTTCAAGAAGGGGTATCTTGCGTAGCCCAAAGAAACACAAAATACAGCCTTGGTCCTGCCACGCCTTGCCTACCTCGCCCAGTGAGCCGCGAGCATGTTGGAAAGCCAAAGCTCCAGCCAAGGCGACGGGCCGTCAGGCGGGCACCACGTTGGGCTCGGCCAGAGGCGCCACCTGGATCGTTGGGCGCTCGTGGCTGGGTTCGGTTGCAACCCAAGTGGAGGTCTTGGGCTATGTTCGTCCAAAGTGGAGACACAACCCCCGAGCACACTTTGCTGACCAAATCTCCCATGATTTCAGCATTTAGAAAAGGGGGAGCCTGTGCATGTCCTTCCATGTTGGTGGCGAGAGGGTGCTTAAATGTTCGGGCCCAGTTGTCTTTTTATGGCGGTTCAGCCGCTTGTAACAAAAGGTGACTGGTGCGTGCCAATCAAACTGCCGCTTCCGGAGGTTCAGATCAGAAGGATTTGAAACTAGGGGTCAAACTTGACGTAGGGTGTCGGCAAAACACAAAGCGAATCCATGAGTTGCCCCACCCCACCCCATCCCCCAATCCCACCTATGCAAGGGAGCCGCAAAAAACCCGCTGCCTGGTGCCAACTCTGGAGCCAAGGACTTGCGCTTCCGAGCTCCGAAGCGAGCGGCGAGCGGTTAGCGCCTTGATCCACCCCCGGGGAGCGATGGCCAGCCACAGGGGGTAGCCCTCTGCCGGCAGCTGGGAGATGGCACGGAACTGCTCCCCTAGCGAACTGAAAGCAGGCGGGTGGACGGACCTTCGCACGAACCATTGATCAAACTGGTCTTGGCGAAAATGAGTGGACTGCAGGTCCAGAGATCTGTCAGACAACCATGCAAGTTTTGGACTAGGGCAAACTTTGGCCCCCTCCTGAAGAGAAATTTGAAAAGGAGGTTGTTTACGTGGCGCTTTGTCTTCAAACAAGCCTCCGAACCTTCGGCTCAACACGATAGTAAAACCACCCCCCAAACCACCGGGACTCGGGGGATATTTGGGGCTCTGTGTTGATTTTGTTGCCATAGTCCGCCCAAATGTCCTTACTGCTTGGTTTCCTAACGTGCAAGTCGAGTGGTTTATGAAGATACGTGAGTTTCTCAAACGCGGAACCCATCAAAATCCATATGTTCAACGGGACAAATGCGTGAACATGCATTGGTTGTGGTGCCTAACATCTTAAATTGTAATGGTTATGGTCATGCTTCCCTTGAAACTCTTGACCAAAACTGCCTAAGTGTGTGTACTCCCCTGTTGAGATTTGACGACAACCCAAACCCAAGCAAAGGGTTCTTTGGACCATGGCACATGTGCGGTTTTCGCCCCAAAACGGGTCAAACAACCACACTGCGCAAATAGACCATAGACTCCTGACCGAATCTCAAATGTACCCACAACCTCCGGTGGCCATGGAGGAAAAGCGTTGCACCCTTGCTTTCGTAGTTGGGGGAAACAATGGGCAGCCCTTTTGGGTAGTGGAAAAACAGACAGGAACGCCTCCAAGAAAAAGGAACCACAAGAATATGGTTCAGGGGAGGTCCGGAGTAGGCAGGGATACTCAGGTTGGGCAATTAAGTGCGCTGAAACCATTTGGTTTCCTTTCAAAGCGAGCTAGGGTCCAAACAGGGAACCCCCAAGATGGTGGTGTTCCTTTGATTCCCTTTAATCGAACCTGAAAGGGTACCCTCAAAAAACACAAGCCCAATTGCTTACTCACCCCCCGACTCCCGCGCTTGCGCCGCTCTTGCGCGCCTGGCTTCAGCGTGCGCAGGGGCCGCAAAGAGGCATCGTCGTCGTGTTTGCGCGGCCACAGAGGGGTGAGCCTTGGCTTGCTTGGTAGGGCCTAGGGAGGCCAAATGAAGACTGCTAAGTTGGCCTGATACCACGGGAAGTTTGCTGAGAAACAAGAATTCGTCCCTGGTAGATCCGTGTGAAAAGCACAACTTGTAAACAAGGAAAATTGCTAAGGTTAGGTGAATGGATCTGCCGAAAGTGCTGCAGCAACACAGCTGAAGCTTCAAGGGAGGGCCTGAAAAAAAATGAAGAAAAAAAACAAAGCATTCCATGCCGCTCGTTTTTTTTTTGTCGCGGAAGGAATGAGTCGCATGACAAGGGAACCAGAAAGCCTCTTATAGTTGTTGCCTGAAAGGGAAGGTTCATAATTCAAAAAGAAAGACAGCAACCCCGCAGAGGACAGCATACGGAGCTCAGTGAGAGCCCATGTCCAACGTTCGATCGAACTCCCAATGCAAGAGATCAAAACAAATCTGAGGCAGGTGTTTTTGTTTGATTCCCCAAGAGGACTGGGACATGTTGTGAGTCCGCCGGTTTTCTCTGGCGAAGTTCGTTGAGTCCCCCACTCTCCCAAACGGAACATTGTCTCTGGGAATCGGAGAAGGACCTCGGAATCCCACACTCACGGCCACTCACAGCCAGGAACAGGAGACTGCTTATCAAGCATGTGCTCGGATTCCCAAGATAAAGGAATGCATACGTTTGTTGGACAAACAAAATCTCTTAAACTTCATGTTTGCCGTTACCCAACACGATCTTCCAAAAAGTATAAACTCCAGGAACTGGTGAAGTCTTCGTAACCAACGGCCTTGGGTTTTCGCTCGCACCCGCGATCGAATTCGAGCAGCTTCAGGACCTTCCACTTGGGCGGCGCCGAAGGCGGCGCCGAAGGCGCCGAAGCCGCCGAAGCCGCCGAACCCGAAGCCGCCGGCGCCTGCTTCGCGGGCGCGCTCGCCTGGCGGGGTTGGCCAAGCCCCGCGTGTGATACCAAAGTTCGGTAAACATGCACTTTCAAGGGGATTCCCTTCGCCAAGTAAATCCAAGCCCAGATTGGCCGAGACCAGCAACAGCGGTGCCTCTGATCAATCCTTGCGTGTGCTTCACTGGGCCAAAAGCTCGCCAAACAAACGATGCCTCCGAAATGCGGAAGCACGGCTTGCCTATACGGTTCACCCTGTTGCGAGCAAACCAACCTGAGAAAACAAAAACTTGGGTTTCTTGCTTTTATGGAAGCAATCCTATGAGTCGCCAGGACCTGCTACGGCAGTGCTGCAGCTGTTGCCAATGGCGATGCATCTCACTACTTATGCGGAACGGCTTCTTGTGTTCCCCTTCCTCTCTCCCTTTATGTGTTCAACCGTGCGTCCCTTTGTGTCGCCAATAGTTTTGCTCTTCTACTAGATTGTGGTTCCCGAGTTGTTCCCCTTAGTGTTCAGGTTTGAGCCCCTAGAATCAATTGGCGCTTCCCGACTCTCGGTTCAAACATCATTAAAAGCCCCAATAGGAAGGCTAACCGCTAACCGTCCTGCAAGTTACCCATTCTACAAACCCTCACCAAACCAAGTATACAAAGGTTTTGTCGACTTGGCACAAACCCAGTCTACCATGGCCAACGGTTGCATTGAAATCGCAAACAATCACGACATGTATCGTGAGGGTCTGCCAATATCTGCTTACACTTTTATGACCAAGCAAAATATATGAGGACTACCTCCAGCTGCCGGAAAACGCTAAGCTATTTGAGACCAGGGGTAATTTCGAGGGTTCTAACAGACCTCATGTGGGCCAAAGAAAAACTATTCGGCAGCAAAGGACATTGACAAATAGGTGACTCCATGCCCAAATCTCCAACTTGTGTTGCTCCCAATTCGAAATCCCTGACTCAGAGGCAAATGGTTGCTGAACATAAACCAAAGGGAATGGCTTCCCACACGTTTGGCCCTTGAGGTTTGGCCACCTTTGGAGCAAAAACCGGCTTCAGCCCCGCCTCATCTCTGCGGCGCTTGTGAGTCGCCATCGACGGCTCTGATGCCTGGCGGAAGAATTTTGAAGCGAGACACCTGTCTGCTTGGCTTTGCGTTTCTCCAGCAGAAAGCTTTGGAGCTCTACCCAGGTGCAAGGAGGGTTGCCGTTGGGGATATCACCTCGATGTTTTGGGTGGGACGATTTGTTTGATCGGCTGACCCGTCCTCCGGCCGCTTGCCAAGTGCCTCAGCTGGCGCTTCCCAGTTGCAACCAGTGACCCGAAAGGTAGAGCCAGAAAAATGGAACCCTTTCTTTTTGGGGTGAATTCCATGGGGAATCCACCAAACGGAAAGAGATTTACAGGATGCCAGTCAACGGAGAATCTCCGACGTTTTGTTGCTTGATGCTCTCCAAATAAACATGCAACCCAATAAGAGGGTCTACAAAATGAGATCCCTCTACATACGTGTCTCTGTGTGTGTGTGTGTTGTGGCTTTCATGCCCATCAGCACGATTGGTTAACAACTCTTTTTGGCTTCCCTTTAAATGAATTGCCACTTCACCGTCATCCCCACTCAGCTCCTCCAACCCCGCCAGTCCAAGAACCTCCAACCCTGGCTTCCGGCTCCCCCTCTCTGCCGGGTGACCGAAGGCAACGATGCCGGAGCTGCCGGGCGCGGGATTCGCCACGGAGGCCGAAGAGAGCGAGGCTGAGGAGCCTGGGGTACGGAAGCGCCCGGTATTTCCCCCCTTGAAACGCACCCCACCAAAGGGAAACTCACGCTAAATGCCCTGCGGTCACGAATCCTTGTCCTCTGACATGCCCTGGTCTTGTGACGGGGGCCCTGAGTGAAAAGAAAATTGGCGGATTTCACGCCCAAGCAGCCAGCCTTCGGTGCTGTTTGAACCATCCAAAAAAGAAAAATATGGGGACCCCTGCACGGGAAGGACGGAGTGCCTGAAACTTACGGTTCCTTTCGGAAAAGAAGTCCCTCATTCTGGGACAAACCCGCGTGAATTGACCAAAGGCTTCCTTGATCCAAGGCGCTGTCGACGGCCTGGACGCCTGGCTACCCTCATTGCCTTCAGCAGATGCCTGGCGCGGGGGCTCGCCCTGGAACGGGGTGAAGCTGGCGCCGCTGAAGTAGTAGGAGATGTGCAGCTTGGCCTTGTTCTCCCTGCCAGGTTCTGAGGCATGAAATTCCATCACTCCTTGTGTTTTTCGTGATGGTTGGCCAACGTTCTGCAAAACACATCCAGTGGCTGGTTTCTACGAAGGTTTGGACTTGTCGCAATTTCGTAAAAAGAACCTGAAAATGGGACCCGTCCTTTGACAAGTTGGGTCACAACCCCCATTTTCGTATAAGACCCTGGAAAAGCCAACAAACAAAAACCGCGTTTGAGCACCAAACCACGCTGGCCGAAGCGCAGAACCAAGTTCAGCGTTGCTCCGACGGCCCTGGAGACCGGGTGGACAATTGGATGAAAAGAAACCCGAGCGCAGAAAACCAATGCTCTTAGCCTTGAGATTTGGTCATCCTTAAGAGGCTCAGAGCCACCCTGAAGTTGGATCCTTCTCCTGACTTTGATGACAAGGTGTGAATGGTTTTGCGACTGCAGTCGAACTACGCACCCAAATAGAGGTTGACCACAAGTATCAACCAGGAAGCTTACTGGAATTACTGGATGAATGAACATCCTGCACCAGTGGGATGGCTGAAGCCTCAATACTGGGATAATTCACTTACCAACTGGTACCTGGTGTGGATTTTGTCCATCCGCAGCATCTTATTTTCGCCACCAAAAGGGAGGAACGGTGACACAGGCCACTGGCTATGCAATTCAAACGAGTGGTTGTACATACTGATCACACTTGAAGGGGCAGGGTGCTTAGTAAGTGGTTGGTCACCCTGGCTATGACTCACGCAACGGTACGTGCAACCATGACTTTGGTGGGCCTTTTACCAATGATTGTTAACTTTCTAAGCATCCAGTGCCTCTGAGTGCCAAGCCGCCCCCTGTAGAGAATTAGAAGGGCGGCCACACCTATTTTGAGTTGGAACTGTCCCTTATGACCCTTCATCTGTCCGGGATATTGTGTCTCCTCTGGTGTGGTTGTCGTGGGTTGGGAGAGGATTTGCAGCAAATCCCCGATTTTGATCCCATGCCGCCTGTACCATTTAGCCACTTCCTCCGTCGAGATGCGCGGGCTCCAGTTCCGGTAGTTGTCGTTGTCTACCTGAGACCCGCTGGGTTGTTCGAAATGAGGCATCTCTAATCTGCAATCGATAGTGAAAAGCCGCTACAACAAAGACTACTACCATCTGGGGAGGTTGCTCTTGCGGATTGATTATGAACAACCCAAACAGCTCTGAGCACAGCTGCCCCAACATTGTTTCTTACGATTATATGTAGCGTGAGACCCCTGGAATTGCTTCGGATAGTCCCGCACTCAAAGTGAACATAGGGGCCATTGTTCCGCCCTATTTCCGTCCCCCGAAATTAACAAAAGCTTGCCAGTGACATTGTCCGTTGCCAGGTTCCCTCAAGGTCCCTCACCCACCATACACCCTGAATCTCAGTTGAAATTCCAAGTTTGTTTGGTCCAAAGACTTGACTTCGATCCCTCAACGAGACCGGGCCTTGGCAGAGAGAAAAAAACATGTCACCTAAAGAGGGCCTTTGGATTATTGGCCTACTTGGGTCCAAATGGTGTCTTGTTGGTCTCCCCTTTTGTTGGTCTCCCCTTTTCCGCCCTTCCCCCCTTCAAATGGTCCGGCTCGTTTCGAGATTGTCTCACTTTGGTTTCCAGCATGAGAATCGCTCCTCTTACAAAGACGTTAAATTTGGAGGTCGAGCTTCTCGGCAAAAGGACCACCCTCAACATCGCTCCCGGCCGATGGCCGGAGACGCAAAGGCAATGGGTATTCGCAGAAAGGAACCGTCTCATGGGGCAGGGCGCAAGGCCAATCCCCCGGCGCGGTCGCCAAACCCTACCGTCCAGGAAGTCTCCTGGTGTGGACCAATTTCCTCCAAAAGGGGCCTAGTTCTGATTTCTCCAGTGCATTCCGTGGTATTTGTGGTCAGGAGGGTGCCACCCGGAATCACGCGAAAGGGCAATTTCTGTGAGGGTTCCAGGGCAACGACGGGAGAGGGTTCTTCCTTTGCCCAACTGAAGGAGCATGGTAGCAAGCAGCCCTCTTAGAACCTTCCTCTCAAACGGGGGGGCGCCTGGAAACGGTGGGAAACACCAAACTCACCACCAGCTCAAGTAGCTAGAAACCTATATGCACGCAGGATTTCAATGTGGCATTAGACAGACTATATCATATGCAAGGGATTGTTGGGCACTTTCTCGCCGAACAAAAAAACGCACGCACGTGGACTCCGTCGAGTGCGGGGTCAGTCAAGTGGTTTTCCGGCCGGGGCCCGCACAAAGGGGCAGCGCCACTTGTAGGCCTCGATGATGGTCGCCAGGTCGTCGAGGTCCGGCATCTCGTCACGAGAGGGGACCACCACCAGCGCCGCGGACAGCCTGGCGGGCGCCGTTTCCCATGAGCCGGGGGTTGGGTGACAGAAAATTGGACTGCGGGTTTTGGGAAAAAAGGAGGTGCTGCAGGAAATTGGATTTAACTTAACCCCACCAACTAAAGCAAACCAGAAGGAACTAGGCAAATCCTGAGATGTCTGCCCTCAAAGCCAGAAATTGCAGGAAAAACAGGAGGACTTGAAGGCGTCCGGGCGAGGAATATCGCAAAATGTCGCCATTGACCGGTATATGTCAAACAATAAAATTGCCAATGGAATGGATCTATACAATGGTTTAAGAATTCATGGTGAGTTTAGTTACATTTTCTTGTACACAAGCTTGCCGAACACCAAAATACGCCTCTCTTGCCTTCTCCTTGTATTCACGTTTCCCTGGCCACACGAGTACGCGCGGCAAAGACATCCCTCCTTTGATATCCCTTCAATTCAGAGGCAGTCAAATTCCTCAAGGGCAACGCGGTGGCTCGCAAAAAGAGGCTCAGACTGGTCACTGGACATCGCGTCTCGGAGCCACCCAGACCTAAAATCCCTCCGGCTGCGTTGTCGATGCTTTTTCACCGAACAAGGCCTGTGGCAAAACAACCTACCCCCTTTCCAAGAAGCATGGAAGTGGACCATGCCATGTTTTGGAAGACTACCATCGTCTTGAAAAGGCCTCTTGTCCACTTGCATGATTATTGGAAGATGCCCAAACAACACAAAAGATGGCAATTGTCACTTCAGGAGGTTACAACAAATCCGTTGGCTGAAGTGCACGTGTTGATTTAGTCTCAGCTCCGTCATCAATGATTGAATCATTGAAGGAGTTTCCTTGCTGCAAGCGTTGCCTTTCTTTTTAAACAAGCACGAACAAATGCACGACAAACACAGTACCAAAAGCACACACCCACACCCAAGCCACATTCTTCATCCCTGTTTCATGAACCAAAACAAGAACACGGGCAGAGATGCGAGGGTTCCAGCCAGAACCTCACCCCATCCGCTTCAAAGATACTAAAACGATGTTGCTTAAATCACAGTGGTCTAGACCTGTTTGACCAAGGGGCTGGCGCCCAATCCTGTCGCTCGTGTGGCACAGGGGATCCCAAGCAATTGAAGGACAGGACGGAGGGACTAGCCCGAAGTCCCCAGTGGTTTCTCCATGGGGTTTTTTTGCGCAAGTTCTCTGCGGATTGTTTTTTAAATACCTTTATTTTTGCCAGGAAGGGTTGGTTGGGTTCTGAGCTATTCCATATTCCCTGCTGAGAGCAGTTGCTTTCAAATGTGGTGATGTTGGGCCTATTCACACAGTAACCCAGTTGTTTAGCGGCTGCCGGGTCAGCTTTTACAACAAACTTTGCCGCCACCCTGGCAAGTCTCGCCAGTCTGCCTCTGCGACACGTCGCGCCCCGCACGCTGCAGCAGACGTTGGTTCGCCACCGCGTGGACTACGTAGCCCCTCTCCAGGTAGAAGCGGCATGCGTCTTCCACGCCCGCCCAAGAGAATCCTCGAGACGGGGGAATTGGACTCCGTTGCGTCAACCCCACGATAAAACGCGTGCGAGTACACTGCCATTGGGGGTGCACGCCCGCTTTGGACGAAACTCCTAACGTGTGGGAATAGGGGAGGGGGGGGTTCCTTGACCGCCTTGCCAAAATGAAGAAATATCTTCCCACAAAAGACTCTTACTGTCCAGCTTCTGTGTAGAATTGCTAGCTAAACAATGATGGTTTGGGCAATCAGCTTGCCGACTAAACAGGCACCACTTTCAGCCGTGTGCAGCACCGAGGATCGGTTCCCACGTTGGCGCCTCTCTACCTCCTGTCCGTAGGTGCAGCCGATGTTGGCGCAGTTCAAGACCACATGCTTCGCAGCGCCTCAGATCCGCATAGATCCAACTGCTTGGTGAGAGTCACCAACCCGTGCTTACACTGGGAAAAGGAAGGACACCCCGTTTGCGGGTAAGCAACGGGCAGCGGTGGTTTTCGTGATCCATGTATGGCAAGGGTTGCAATTTGCAAAGGGCACCTTGCATAGAGGGCGCAATGTTCCTTTCTGTGTACTCCTACGTTTGTTGTCCCCATGAACAACAACAGCCACATGGTCTCTGGGTAAGTTGCGCCACTTCGCAAGAGGGCATTTCAGGATCCCCAACCAAAGAGCCCTGCAATTTGTTGATGGTTTCTTGGTTCACTGCCCATGTTCCCCCAGTCACCCCGCACATCCTCAAACCTGATTGGCCAAGGAGACCTGGCCCAACTCCCCCCCAAAGGAAAGGGTTGCAGAGAAACCGAATACCCTGCGGCACCCTGCAGCCTACCATCCCTTGCGCACCTGCCGTTTCAGGCGCCTGCGGAAGCGGCCTCCTTAACAGACGCGGTCCAGCCACGCTTGACACCTTCAGCTTCCGGCCCCCGGAAAGGCGATACAGCATGGTCTGAAACCGTGGCCGTCCAAACATCTGCCAAAACTGATGCGATTCCAGACCGGACATAAGAAACCCGGTCAGGGACCTCCATCAAAGGGCAGGAGCTCGTTTACCCTGCAACAAGGGAACCCCCCCCGTGTTTTGAGAAGCACCCATGCACCTACATCAACCCCTTCCAAAGCGCCCTTTGGCGGGCTCGCACTCGGGCTGGGCGCAGCTGGCACACGGCTCCTGGGCTAAAGCGGGCGCGGTCATCCAACAGGCCTTGGAGAGTTCCCTTCAATTGGGTTCATTCCAAAGGAAACTCAATTCCGGATTCCGGAAAGTTCACGGCGAATTCGTAAGGCGTGGTACTTTTTGAACCCGGCAAACATTTGCGGGCCCGGTAAACATGTCGTAGATGTTGGCACCCGTCCTGGCGTCGTTTCAGTGTCCTTTTGGTTTCCCTTGAAAGACATGTTAAGAAAGGAAATCACCGTTGTTATGGGAAAAAAAAAAAAAACAATTCTAGAAATCGATAAAATTCCCCTCAAATTTACCAAAGCAAATTTGGCGGTTATGGTTTGCCACAAACCATGGTAACAAGTCCGAAGGGGCGCACTCACTCATGCCAACAAAAACTGTGCCTTGCCACCCTTCATCTATTCAATTTGCTTGTGATTGCAGCAGCCTGTTTCCCACCACAATGAAGTCACAAACAAGCATACTGACAAGAACATTGGGGGCAGGGCTGCTGTACATGCTCCTTGAACATACTTCTCGATGGCCGAAGATAGGCTTACTGTTGTTCGCACCCCACTTCCCACCTGTGTGAATGTTATATAAGCCATATATAAAGCGGCTTAGCAGCAGGAACCACGGGACCGGTATGAACAGTTGAAACAAGGGGTGGGTAAATCTACTCTACCAGACCTCCAATGCCATGGGATCAAAAAGGGTTGAAGCTTATCCAAAACGGTGGACCCACTTCTGGTCAAATTGTTCAAAGGGGAACCAAAAGGAAACCTGCCTCTTTAGGAAATGGATCCCAATTCTCAGAAGCGCCACAAATTAAAAAAAATAAAAGTAAATACATAGATAATAATAAATATATAGAGATATATATATATATATATATGTAAACAAAAACAAACTGGTCCATTCCTATGAGAGGTCGAACAGAAGTGGAGTGTTGATCCGCTCCTCAAGCTTGCCAGTTGCGCGAGCAGGAACTCCTCCGACAACTCCCCCGTGATGGCGGCAATCACCGCCTGGCGCCCAGGAGACCAAAGCACCGTCGGACCCGGGAGGAAAACAACATGCGTTTGCCTTGGACTGAAAAACCACCATGGGAAAGTATATCAAGTTGGGCAACCTATAGCTTTGACGCCAGATGGACCACCATTGTGTTTGCGCCCATTCAGCAACCATTTCTGGGCCTACATGCGGAGGTCCTGGTGCGAGGTCTCTCCGTTTTCACATGAACTTGAGCAACGCAGGGACGAAAGCAAGCTTGCGACAACAGGCATTGATTGTGGTGACTGGGGGTGGCAAAAAATTGAGCTCATAACCCTGCCTGGCATTGCGTAAAACAGGACCTCGTAGATCCACCGTCATGGTGATTTTGAGCAATTTTGGTGAGCTGTTTTGGCCCCATTTTCACTCCCCAGGATAAGCACAGCTTAGGACAACTCCAGTGCTTTCGCGAGCTTCACGTACGGCCGGGCTCAGAAGAAATGTAGGCCGGCATGACTGACTTTGCTTTTGCCCAATTGAACCTGTCCTATAGATTGCGGTGTGTTTTTGAGGGTCACCTTTTTCGGGTTGCTTTGAAGGAAACCCAAAAGGAACACATGTTGTTCATTTTGTGGGGGGGGTGGTGGCGGGGATTGAGAGCAACCAAAAGAAAAACCGAAAACCGGCGCCATCCACCCGACCCCGGCCTCGCGGCTCGCACGGCTTTGCCCGCGCAGCCGCGCGGCCAGGCGCCGGACGCGAGATGCCTCTGCGGCATTGGCCTGTGGAGTCGCCGGGTTGGGAGTCGTGGCCTATGTGGGTCAAGATGGGTCAAGTAGTGGCGAGATTCAGGTGGGTTTGGGGTTGGTTTATGGGTCCGGGATTATTTGGGGGCGGCGTTGGGGTGGGGTTTAAGGCTGGCTTGGGATTTGTAGATCGGCTCAGGGTCAGCTTAGGGTTCCTTTAGAGTAGGGTTGCTTTGGTCAATCCCAGAAATTGCGCAAACGCTGCAGCAGCCTTTGGATTTCCACAAGGGGGGGACTGCAGGAGACGCTGGGGGCATGGTGGGCTCTTGGCGAATCTGCTGCCCTAGCCACGCACCTCCGCTTTTCGAGCTAGGCGCATGGCGCCGTTTGAAGAGGATTCCAGCTCTGCCCTTGTGAAATTCGGAACCAACTTTGCGGCAAACCACATAAAGTAGCATCAGTGTCGCATAGTGTCGCACTTGCTCTTGTCAGCACAAGCTTCCAACACGAACTGCACGAGAAAAAGGACCTTGCTTCAACCAAATGTGCCGTTTGATGTGAACGGGAAACCTTCTCAAAACACAGCCTGGATCCCAGGGGGGCATTTGCTAGACTCCCTTACTGGAAAACTGCTTGACTCCCCCCTCCCCCTGCAATTATTCTCCATTCCACTCCAACCCAGACTTGCAGGCAAAACTGAACACTTCATCAAAGGGGGGGGGATTCAGGACAAACCAAAGAGTTCCCATCCCGTCTTTTGGTTCTTGTGAGGAATTCACCATTCTGCAATATGCCCGGAGCATCCCCCCTTGTTTCTGACCGTAAGCCATTGGAACTCATGGATGGGCCCAAAAGATCAGTTGGGTCGGAAAACAACAAACAAAAGCCCGGTCTTTTGGGTACCCTCGGTACCCTTAATTGGTAGCTTGGATTGGTGGTTTGGCGGTTTGAACAGCTCCTTTTGAAACCGAATGGGGAAGTAGCCAACGTCCAACCCACCAAACGCTTTTGGCAGGCACCCAAGGACCAACAACCCTCCGAAAAAAAAAAAAAAAAAAAAGAAAAAAAAAAAAAAAAAAAAAAAAAAAAGCCCCGCCTCCTCCAGAAGGTCTGCCAGCGTGCAAAGGCTCTGCAGGATCCGCGCGCCCTCAGGCTGAACTTCCGGATCAGATTGGTGTATTAGGTCCTAAACGATTAGAATGGGTCGATGGGGTACTGTCAAACCAACTTGTGCACAAAGAGAAGTGATTCAGCCCCGTATAGTACTTGGGTGTTCGGACAAGCTAGTAAGTTGTTGGAAACCTGAGTTACGAACCACTTAGGTGTTCCTCTAAGTGGAGTCAACCCTGTTTCAAGTGATATAATCAAATGGCTGACCACTTACCACTTACTACCTACTTGCTCCAAGGATCATCTCATATTGGTAGAAATGAGGTGCCTGGCGCTGCTTAGGGTTGTTGTCGGGTCGGTTTGTGAAGTGCTGAATTGGCCCACGAAGTGATGGCCGGTCCCCCCCACCTGGTTGTTGGGCCCATAAACCAAAAGGCAACACGGAGGTCCAAACGCAGGTTTGCAGTTGGAAAGACAGGGCCCTCTCAGGGACAAAACAGAAATCGCAAAGGTAGAACTGCCCTTCTTTCGCTAACACGGCACTTTGGGAAGCGGGAAGATCCTTGGCCTCGAGACTCTGTGTCAGGTGCCATATTTGTAGGAGAGAGAGGGTACTCTTTTGCCAACAGTCATTGCAAGGAATGGACAACTACAGTCCTATTGACAAGGCCTCCTTTCCGCTGCCATCGTTGGAAGAGGGTTCGACAAAGTCTAGATATTTACCAATCACGACCACTGCCCTTCAGACCTAAGAGAAAAGATGCATAAACAAATGGAAGCTTAGAATGTTCTCTGGGCCAAAAGCCTCAAAATGTTCACTTTCAGCCCGAAAAGAATCAGCCGGACTTCAAAAGCGGCCGGAAAATGGGGTTTTGAGAACCCTCGGTTTTGAGAACCCTCCCTTTATGGCAGAGCCCAACCCAGAAACAAAGCCCGCTTGACCAAACCTTCTTTCAAGCTTTGAGGGCACCTCAAGTGTACTGGGAATCCGGTAACGGTTCAACGACCTCCTGGTTGATGTTGATGTGCAGGCCCCAAGAAAATCCAGATCATGTCTCAGTGGAGAGTTGCACCCCTCTTCTCTTTCTGTTCTGCAAGCTGCTTTGGGGGTACGATTAAACCAAATGTGGCGTCACAGGACCACAATGTGCATCGGTCGCAGTGTTCAGGGCAGGTGTCAAATCTCGGGGGAACCCCAAGACTGGCGGCTTTCCTTTTGGCTTCCCTTCAACCCCGAATTGTTTGTACCCTCGAAAGATACGAGCCCATGCGTATCACAAGGCGTCAACGGATGTGAAGGTTTTCCGCGCCTCGGGGGATTGGAAGCCCTCCTCGACCGCCTCAGATCCCAGGAAACCCTCCCCAAAGAAGCAAAACACCCTCGAAACTCACCTGACACCCCGAAACCTTGAGAGTCTCAAAACCTCAAAACCTCAAAACCTTAAAACCGGTAAAGGCCAAAAAAGTATTGGCTGGCTTCCTAGGTGGAAAACATCCTGCATCTTCCGCAACCACAATTCTTCCCCTGCTCTTGCTCAGCCTGGTCAACAACCATGACCTCAAGTGTGTTTTGGTTTTGCTGAGGTTACCCATTTCAGGTTGGTGTAAAGCGAACCAAAAGCAACACCACCAATTTTGGGCCTATTTCGACTCGTTGGCAATCTCCTTCAGCGGGGTGTGAGGACGTGGCCCCGCTGTGATATCTCCTGCAACTTGAAAGGTGTGCTAACCAATGGTTAGAGTTGGGTCCTGCTGTAAAACACGTCTTCTATGAAAACCTACATGTTATACCCTCAGTTGTAACCCACCCTCAGGTTGGTTGTTAGGTTTGTAGTGTGTAACTATGATTCACTGGAATCCCGACTCAGTATCCCTAGTGACGCTATAGCTCACACTGCGTTTGGAGTTTGGGGGTCCGCGCTCCTGAGATCATGCGTGTTTTAGTAATACCCTCACACCTCGCTATTCGCGGGGAGCAATTTAAGGGTAAACCCACCAAAAAAGATGTTAAAATGGACCTGCCACAGAGTAACTGCCTTGTCTTAAGTGAAGGTGGAGGGAGATATGAGTAAGAACCCTGCAAAACACATTCACACCTGTGCAGCCAAGCGGCCCTGATCTCATTGGCAGTGACCATTGATTCGTCGATTCGCCATACGCAGTATTGATCGGTGCTCACATGAACGCCGATTACCACCAACAAACGATAGGGGCCCAAATATCATGGTACTGTTGTCAGTGACCCACGTCAACTTAATGAGAGAGGCAATCTGAAGCTTACAATTCTCCGCCAATACCCCCTCCCCGAGCAACATAGATACAGTCAGTCACCGGTGTGCAGGTTCCTTTGGATTCGGAACTCAAGCAGTCTCATGAGTTTTGCCCCAATCTTGGTCTCTAGAATCAATTGGCGCCCGTGAGCCAAGCATTCGCGGTGGCGCCGCTGTCTTCGGCTGAAGTTTCGAGAGCACGAGGCAACCAGGAACTTTCTGCCTGAGCTCTCGAAGCAAGCCTCTCTGGCCAAGTGAAAGCAGTCCAAACTCCTCTGAGCCTTTCTGATTCTTGCTGGAAGCACTTGGACTGAAGTTGGGTGATCTCACGAGGAAATGGTCTTCCATGGGCCGTCAGCCACATTCTATGTTAGTGTGCGGGAGGGTACTTGCCGGACACGCTGCCCGGTCATGCTCCAATGTCACCTCCGGTGCTCGAAGGTTGTTGGCTGAAGGAGGGCATCACCGGCCCAAAGGACCAGCAAATAAAAGGATAAGCTTTTGGGACGTTGAATAAAGACCAAAGAGGGAAAGGGGAAGACCAAAAAGCCAGCCGGTTCACGCCTGCCTGCATGTCGTGTGTTTCCACATGATGTGCTCCGCTTGAGAAGTAGACTCATCGAAAGAAATTGCGGGAAACGGTAAAATAGTAAATGTCTTGAACGACACAAACAAGTTTTACTGCAATACTCTCTGTTGCAAAGTTCTTCATCAGGGGGCCTCAAAGGATGTTCAAGGGCTTCCAATGAATGTCACAGTTTGTTCGAGGGGTCGAAATGGGTCTCTGGGCGAAGCCTGATAACTCCGCGGCCTCAGATGACGGCAAGAAAGGAGCTTTCATCATGGGTGAGGTTGTTTTTCCTCAGTCAGGTCACTTTAATTTGTGGTAGCAAAGCAGGCCATCTCCCTGCAACTAGGTTTTCTCACTTCAAAGAGGATTCCCTTCATATTGCGGAAAGTGGGATTCCGGGATACCCGGTTTCCCAACACTGGTTTCAGTTGAAATTTGCGGAGTTGCCCCTTTCTCCCACAGGGCAATCGACCGACTCTGAGCCCCCGGCGCCACGCCATGCACAGGAGCGAGTCAGCGGGGAAGCCCGCTGAGATGCCGTCTTCGGTTGGTTTCATCTCTGACGGGTGGCTTCATTTGTTTAGTTTCGGTGTTCGGTGCATCCTTGGGCTGTCCGGATCTGATCTGATCCATGGCTGAAAAAAGGTCACCGCGCTGGAGCTTGATTCTACGACCTGCTCTGCAGCCAGATGCGCAAAGCGGATGTGCGCAAAGGGCGCCTAAATGGAGCCCCTACTCTTCGGCTATCAATCAAAAAACTACGACCTCAAAATACAATGCCACCAAAAGGAGACTCACCTTAAAATTGGCAATCAAAAGGTGACATTTGAAACGACCCTAACGGCCAGGCGCGCTTCTGTAGTAGGCAGCTGCTTGCAATGGAATCGAAAGCTGCAAATGTGATTATTGCGCTTCAAATGAGGAGCTACCAAAGGCGCCTTGGGCAAATGAGCTAGGGGGCCACGAGAAATTATTGGGGCACCTTTGTTTCCTTTCAAACGGCCTGTTCTTAGGTATATAAAACTGTTCTTTGATCAAACCTCTTCTAAAAAGGCCGTGGTTCCTTTCGATGAAGCAGAATCCTTCCGCTACATTATGTATCCATGACTTAGGATTCTTAGTCTTTTGACCATGGAGTAGCGTCATGGATGCATCCAACCTGTGGTGTTCTTCTCTCCCCACGCAGTCAGGTCTCAAATTGGTCGACCCATGGAGCAAATGGGCCTGTCTTTTTTTGAGGGTACCTTTCTTGGTGGGTTTTTAATGGACAACCAAAAGGCAGCACGATATTGGGGGGGGGGGGGCGCAAAAAAAATAGACTCGGGCGATCCGCCGATGGACTCACCCCAACCTTCAGAGAAAGAAGAAAAAAAACATGCTACAGTTGTTAAACAAAAAAAAAGAAGGGGGAAAAAAAACGCCTCAATTTCACAAAGCGGCATCCTCAAAAAGGATGCCTGTGTGCTTCAAAAGAACATCCTCGCAAAGGAAACTGGCAAGAGTTTCGAATTGGAGCGGGCGATGGATGTATGGCTCAACACATGCCGAACACTCCTTTTCTGGTCGTCAGGGCTTCGGCATCAGCGGTCTCACCGCTCTCGCCCTGCCCTTCTGCAAGAGCTCTCTGGGACCTTTCAGGACCAGTCTTCACTGCAGGTTTTGCGGGGGGGCTTCGGTCAGCTGGCTTCAAAAGCCCCGTGCTCACGGGGATCAACCCCCCAACTTGGACCGAATGTTGCAGATTGCCTCTGAAGATTTGAAGGGTCCCAAGTCCCAGTGCTCGCTAATTTCGGGCAGGGGCTGCTGGCCCGCATTGCCCGCTCCGAATGCACCTTCGGCTTTTCGCTGGCGATAGCCACCGTTCGTCTCTGACGCGGCCACCGCCGTCTCTGTGCTGGACGCCTTCTCCGATCCCGAAGGAAGGCCCAGGCATAGTGAGTGGCAATAAATGAAGCCTCTGCGTGAAAACCTGGGGATCCTTCTAAGCACCTGGTAGGAAACCAACATGAGTTTCCATCTTTGCGCAGGGTTCCCTGCTTTCGGCGCCCAAAAACTCGGCACGGCACTTCAAAAAGGTGGTTCAACTGGAAACTCGGGTCCAAAGAATGCCATGGTAAATGAGCTTCCTTTCTTGTCAGGGTACCCAAGGAATGGTTCTCTTTGACGCGTTCAAACGGCTATACAAACTCCTTTCAAGTCTATCCCAAAGAGGGCTCCCCCATGCACCTCCCCCAAACAAGAAAAACACTGCATCGGTTCCATGGAGAACAGGCCTGGGGTTGCGAGAAAGCTCGGCCGCCCACAGCTCGCCGAGAAGGCACCCCCGAGTTGTTTTGAGAGCGACTCAAATTTTCTCATCAAGTCGTCGCAGGAGGGGCAAGATTAAGTTGATCAGTCGAAACTCTGGGGTTCAGTGGGTTGGACAGTGAACCTAGTTGTTCAGGTGTTGGACAGAGGAAAAAATGACGTCCGCCAGTTTGCTGCGCCGAGGTTCCAAAAAGACTGGCCACTGTCATGTTGAGCCCGGATATTTCAACCTGGCTGATTTATCGATGTTTCTGCCCAAGCAAAGGATTTCCCTCAATGAGCCTTGCTGGGTCCACTAAAGTAACTTCCTCAAAATGATCCCCGAGGCAGTGGTTTCAAGGGAAGTGTCCACTACCCTTCAAACTGGCAACTATTGATGGAGCCACTTCAGTTTCATAGGTCTCTTTCTGGGAAACAATCACGCCCATGTTGCCTTTTGTAAATTGGTTGAATTGTCTCATAAAGTGGTCACCATCTTGAGGGAT